AATTTTTTGTATTTTTAGTAGAGACAGGGTTTCACCATATTAGCCAGGATGGTCTTGATCTCCTGATCTCGTGATCTGTCCACCTCGGCCTCCCAAAGTGCTAGGCTTTCAGGCGTGAGCCACCGTGCCCAGCCAATCTAAGCTTTTTAGAGCTCTTCAAGGATGCTGAGCCTCCCCTCACAAACATGTTTTTCACAATTGTGATGAAAGGTGAATCATCCGGGCCTTCCAAGGTGGGCGATTTGTCATTTCATGACAAATTAATTCTAATATTCCAATCTCCCTAATGCTCTGAATCTCTTCCTCTGCAGCAAAACAAGGCAGGCCTGTCATTTCTAGGTCACACACATATTCCCTGAATGTCTGTCTGTATACACTGTAGTTCTTTTGGAGCGTAGTGCAACTTGTCTTGGGTCACATGTTGTACCTCACCATTGGGGACCTGCTGGGACTTCACTCTAGAAGCAAAAAGAGTTGATAGGGAGGGGTCCTGAGATGAATCATCAATGTCTTTCAAGGCAACTGCTTCACAGGAGCCCATTACAGTTTCCTTAGAAAAATCAGAGTCAGTCTCCCCAGGTGGGTGTGGAAAGGCTGCTTCTACTGGCAAAGAAGACTCAATCAAATTCAGGAGTATAGTGTTTCCACGGTCATCAGGATTTTCTCATTGGTCCTCATTCCAATTTTCAGAATCCCATTCCTTCTCCTCCTCCTCCTCCTCCTTTTTCCTCTTCTTCCCCTTCTTCTTCTTCTTCTTCTTCTTCTTCTTCTTCTTCTTCTTCTTCTTCTTCTTCTTCTTCTTCTTCTTCTTCTTCTTCTTCTTCTTCCTCTTCTTCTCCTTCCTCTTCTTCTTTTTAGACAGAGTCTCACTCTGTTACCCAGGCTAGAGTACAGTGGTGAGATCTTGGCTCACAGGAACCTCTGCCTCCTGGGTTCAAGTGATTCTCCAGTCTCAGCCTTTAGAGTAGCTGGGATTACAGGCATGTGCCACAATGCCAGGCTAATTTTTGCATTTATTTATTTATTTATTTATTTAGAAGAGACAGGGTCTCACTATGTTGATCAGGCTGGTCTCGAACTCCTGACCTCAAGTGATTCACCCATCTCCCCCTGACAAAGTGCTGGGATTACAGGCATGGGTCACTGTGCCCGGCCCCCATTTCTTCCTAATCAATGTCAAGGAGAAATGCTTTAACTCAGGAAGTGGTTGTTGCAATGAGCCGAGATGGTGCCACTGCACTGTAGCCTGAGCGACAGTGAGACTCCAACTCAAAAAAAGAAAAAAAGTTGATTCTCTCCTTCATAAGTTTTTAATTCAAAGGAATAAATAGTAAATTTGCAATAGAGAAAGCTGGCAGATCAAGTGGTCGAAGTCATATCTCCAGGAATGGGACAATTAAACATCATGTAAGGCTTGACATCATGCTCTAAGGACAACACCACTTTTGTGGAATATTTGCAAAAATGTGTAATCTGAGCCTGCTCAAGAGGAAACATCAGACAAACCCAAATTGAGGGGCATTCTACAAAACCAATGGTTTTTTAAAAAGGTCAGTGTCAAGGAAGACAAAGAAAGACTGTAGAACCATTTCAGACTGGAGGAGACTGAAGAATGGCTTCACTTTATCTGTAGACATGCTGAGAATTTGGAAATTTAATTTGTATTGTAATTCAGTCATTCACTGAAAAGATTTGGGGTTTAGTTTTTAGCAGTTTCAGCTCTGAGACTACAGAAGATAAGGGTTTCTTTCAGGACAGACATAAAATCTTTCAGGTTATTTATGTGCTGCCTGGTTATTTATGTGGTGCACAAACTGAGGATTCAAATCCTGGACCTCATCATTTTCTTCTCCCATCTTACTTAACACAATGAAGAGCAACCAGCCAATCTCTTTATATTCATTAGTTTGACAAAAGTATTCTCAGGTAGCAAATCCATGGCCACTCAAAACCTTGTCTCTTATAAGCATTTGATTAGAAACATCCAATAGTGATATTTTGCATATCCCTATAGCCACATTTACTGTCAGTGTTCTCTTCACTATGGGAAATAGGGTTCATTAGTGCATTTAAATCTAGTTAGGCTAGAGAACAAATTCCAGAAATTCCAGAACTCATTCAGAAAACTTGTCCTTAAGATTATATTCCTTGAGATTCTGTTATGTTTTGGTAAAGTAAGTGTGAGCAAGAAAGACAGAAAGAGGACTATTTTGCAGCAATGGCTCAAGTGACTATCAGGGATGGCAAAACCAAAATTTGTAGGGAAGGATGGCAGAATGCAGGTTCAGGGGAGAGCTGATGTTGCAGTCTCAAGTCCAAAATCATTCTGGAGACAGATTTAGTTTTAACTTTTATTTTCAGTTTAGGGGTACAAGTGCAGGTTTGTTACATAGGTAAACTTGTGCTATGGGGTTTTGTTGTACAGATTATTTCATCACCAAGGTAATAAGCCTAATATCCACTAGTTATTTTTCCTGATCCTCTCCCTTCTCTCACCCTCCACCCTCTGACAGGCCCCAGTGTGTATTGTTCCCCTGTATGTGTCCATGTGTTCTCATCATTTAGCTCCCACTTATAAGTGAGAACATGCAGTGTTTGTTTTTCTGTTCCTGTGTTAGTTTGCTAAGGATAATGGCCTCCAGCTCCATCCATGTCCCTGCAAAGTACATGATCTCGTCCTTTTTTATGGCTGCATAGTATTCCTTGGTATATAGGCACCACATTTTCTTAATCCAATCTATCATTGATGGACATTTAGGATGATTCCATGTCTTTGCTACTGTGAGTAGTGTTGCAACGAACATACATGTTCATGTGTCTTTACAGTAGAATAGTTTATATTTCTTTGGGTATGTACCTAGTAATGGGATGGCTGGCTTGAATGGTATTGCTGGTCTTTAAGGAATTGCCACACTGTCTTCTACAATGGCAGAACTAATTTACACTCCCACCAAGAGTGTATAAGCATTCCTTGTTCCTGAAGGCAGAATATTTTTTCTCTCTCTGCTTATGAGTCTTTTCTCTTAAGACCTTTGACTGGCTGGCTGAGGCCTGCCCATATTATGGAGGGTAATCTGCTTTACTCAAACTCTACTGATTTAAATACTAGTCACATCTAAAAAAATATGTTCACAACAACATTTAGACTGATGACTGGTACTAGAGCAAGATCTGGGAACCATAGCCTAGCCAAGTTGACACATAAAATTAACCATCACATATGTACACATACATGCAAATATAATGGCAAATAAAATTGAAAAAGATCAGGCGCAGTGGCTCACACCTGTAATGCTAGCACTTTGGGAGGCTGAGGTGGGTGGGTCACCTGAAGTCAGGAGTTTGAGACCAGCCTGGCCAACAAGGTGAAACCCTGTCTCTACTAAAAATACAAAAATTAACAGGGCGTGGTGGCAGACACCTGTAATCCCAGCCACTTGGGAAGCTGTGGCAGGAGAATCGCTTGAACCCAGGGGGCTGAGGTTGCAGTGAGCCGAGATCGCACCACTTCACTCCAACCTGGGCAAAAGAGTGAAACTCCATCTAAAACAAACAAACAAAAAATTTCAAAAAAATTGTTCAACTTTACTGATATTCAAACAAATACAAACAAAATAAAAAAGAAATATCTTGAATTTGAGAACGGAGACTAACAGATTTATTTACTTATTTCAAAATGACAATTATTTTAATGACCAACAAAATAGTATGTGACAGTTGGTGGTAATACACATGTTTTGAGATGGCAATATGAATTGGCATACCAATTCTGGATAACAATTTAATACTTATTGAGGCGTAATGAGTTTAAATTTATAATAAGCATATCTTTTTACACAAAAATTGTGTTCTACGAATTTACCTGAAAGTAGAGTTATAATATAGGAGAGATAAATGGATAAGAATGGTCATCACAGGAAATTAGATATAACAAGAGTTCAACAAGAAGAAATTGTAATGGACTTCCTTCAAGTAGTTGCATTGCAGGACATTGCTGATTTTGCTCAGGACCCATCCTCACCACCTCTCTTTGCTTTACATATGTGCATGACTCAGGGTATGAGATAAATATATTTTAAAAAACTATACTCAATGATACTAGCAACACTATAGTAATAATTTTGTAAAAGAACATCAATTATACTGAAAAAGTTTTGGGAAAATGTTTGATACAAAATAAATGTTTAGGCTGGGCGCTGTGGCTCACACCTGTAATCCTAGCACTTAGGAAGGCTGAGGTGGGCAAATAACTTGAGGTCAGGAGTTCAAGACCAACATGGCCAACATGGTGAAACCCCATCTCTACTAAAAATACAAAAAGTAGCTGGGCATGGTGGCACACACCTGAAATCCCAGTTACCTGTGAGACTGAGGCAAGAGAAATGCTTGAACCCAGGAAGTGGTTGTTACAATGAGCCAAGATCATGCCACTGCACTGCAGCCTGAGTGACAGTGAGACTCCAACTCAAAAAAAAAAAAACTTTATTCTTTCCTTCATAAGTTTTTAATTCAAAGGAATAAATATTAAATTTGCAATAGAGGAAGCTGGCAGATCAAGTGGTTGAAGTTATATCTCCAGGAATGGGACAATTAAACATCAGGTAAGGCTTGACATCATGCTCTAAGGACAACACCACTTTTGTGGGATATTTCCAAAAATGTGTAATCTGAGCCTGGTCAAGAGGAAACATCAGACAAACCCAAATTGAGGGGCATTCTACAAAACCAATGGTTCTTTAGAAAGGTCATTGTCAAGAAAGACAAAGAAAGACTGAAGAAGCATTTCAGATTGGAGATTGAAGAATCGTGGCAACTATGTCAAGCCAATGGAGGATCCTGGATTGGATTCTGAACCAACAAAATTGTCTTTTGCTATAAAGGATATTAGTAGGAAGACTGGCGAAATTTGAATAAGGTCTGTAGATACTAACATCTTGGGAAAGCCTGGAGATGAGGACAGAGTATGAAAAGCAATGAAGAAATAACAGTCAAGGCAAAAAGGAATGCATATTTCTGGTTTTATTGTTTCACATCAGGCTGAGCTATGTAAAAAGACAAGCTGCAAAGGGATACAGGTCTGTGTTTTGGGCTTCCCAGAGCAACCACACATATGCAAACCGAGGTCATTAAAAGACTTTGTGGGAGAAGTTTTGGGCTTCTGAACTCCAAGACAGAAGAATCCTCTATGCTTGAGCTCAGTCTTCACCAAGACCTCTCAGCAACATGGGCAGGCCCGGAAGGAGAAGGAAGAGGAGAGGGAAATATTTGGTCGTTTGTGTTCTTCTAGGTTCAGGATCCACTTCAGCAGCAGCCTCCAGAGTGCTGGCCACTGCCCCCTCCACAGCAGCTGGAGCCCCCTGAGGGCTGGCTGCAGCAGTCAGAGCTCTGGGGTCTATGGCAGTGGGACCTGCGGCGCCTGTGGTGGCTCAGACAGCAACCACCTCCCCCAGAGCTGCAGCAGCCCCCAGAGCTGGAGCCACAGCAGCCTCCGGAGCTGACACTGCAGCAGGAAGAGACTGGAGGGCACTTAGGGGGACACTTTGGGGGGCACTTCTGGGTGGGGCACTTGGGAGGGCACTTGGGGGTGCACTTGGGAGGGGGCTGGCACTGCTGCTGGCTCTGCTGGCAGGACATGTCGGCGGTGGGTGTTCAGGAGCTGAGAGAGAGTCAGACAGAAAGTTAGACCCAGGCAGAGGCCATCCCTGCCTATTTTTGCCCTTTCAGCATCATTTCTAATCCCTTCATTTTGATGAACTCCTTAGTGTAGTTGTAGCTAATTAATCACGGGAATGTGCATTATTTCTAATAGTTGGCTAAGCACACTTATAGCCTCTGTTTTGAACCTTATGCTTTTTATATACTTATAAAATCATAAAGCATTTTCAACTATTTTATAATTAGAAAGCCGAAGCCAAAAGATATTAAGAGAGCATTCTTAAAATCAAGCATGTAGTATGTAGAGGAGACATTCTGCTTCAACTACACACCTGAATCATGAAAACAATCTAGAAAGGGGTTTGGAAATAAAATTGTTTTTCAAGGGGAAACAGTCATTCTCTCTTGGAAGAATTTTCTAGATTGTTGTAAGGACACAGAAGTTCAGAACTGCAAAGGAAGTTGGAAAACTAACTGAGGAAAAATATCATTGAATTAAGTTGAGGCTTGTATCCAGGTTTCCGACTTAGTCCAATGCTCTGAAATTCTCAGCAAACACCATACCGAATGCTCAGCACTTATATTTTGTTGTCTACTGTCCTTGCCTTACCAAGTTAAGTACCATTAAATGTGAGTTTAGGGGAGTCAGTTAGCTGTGATATCCTCTACACTGGCTGGGAACCACTGTTTCCATCTCAACTTTTCAGGAAAGGACAGTTATATTTTTCAAGGTAAACCTCCCTTTCTGAAAGCAGTTACAGGTGAACATGGGAGGCAATGTTGCAATGCCTTCAGACTAGAGACCCAAGAACTCTAGATCCATCTCATTTCTCCAGAACACCATCTCAGGACTCCTCCTTCTCATGTCCCTGGTCTGTCCCCATTGCCCTTGCTCAGTTTTCTTGAGACTCCCTCCTTCACTCATATGAATGCCAGCACCACCCCAGCCCTGGAGTCCATGCTCGGCCTCCCCTCCTGCCCTGATCTAGGCATTCTTTTGTGGGAGCCTCTGATAGAGTACCCAGGGAACACTTACTGAGGTCACAAGCAGCACAGGGTCCTTCAGCACCTCGGGAAGTGAATGGATGGGGTTCTCTGGCCCTGAGCCCTTTTATCCTGTCCTTTGGGCTCTTCCTCCAGTAGTGAGACAGGGCCTGGGCATGAGAGGACCTGCCTCCTGACACCCACGTAGGTCCTGTGACAGGTGGTGACTGGCAGCTCTGCACATGTCTGCCTTCATGGGTGTTCAGGAGAGCTGCTACCAGCATGGAATATGACCACTTAGAAATAGAGGTGGGGTGGGGAAATCCCTACTATCATCTCCTGATTTGATCTGCCTGAAGGGCACCTGCCTTTAAGGTTCTCACTTCTCATTCTTGGAGCTTTGAAGTTTTGGCCCTAATACTGCCCTTCTTGCCTCCCCAGTGTTAATGAGCCCATGAAACCTGGTTCAAACCAAATTGTTATGTATTCCAATTTTATTCTTTACAGGTTACCCTGATACAATATGTATTATGGATTACATGGTTTTAACTCTATAGAAATGGCATCATACTTAAGACACTCATTTTTGACTTGTTCTCTTCCTTAAACATTATTTTTGCTAGTTACTCAAGTTGATCTGTATAGCCATAGTTTACTCATTTTCACAACTGTGTAGTGTCCATCTTATGAGTGCATCATGATTTGTTAGCTTCTCTCTTTTGGATGGACATTTAGAGTGTTCTCACTTTTCACTGTATCAATATTGCAGCTATGGAAATTTTTGTGCATGTCTACTTGTGTATTTGTGGGAGAGTCTCACCAAGTTATGTACCTATAAGTGGAAGTGCTGAATTTTGGATCACACCTATCTCTCCAAATTGCTCATATTGATTTCAGTTTGCATCAATGGTGTATAAGAATCATTCTTGCTGCACATTGTTACTAAACTTCAGTAACTGCCGTTTGATGGATGTGCATTGGTATCTGTCTGTAGTTTAATATGTATTCCTCTGCTTTGTAGTAATCAGAGCATATTTTAATATATTTTTGGTTATTTGAGCTTTCTCTTCTGTGACTTGTCTGCTTTTTCTTAAAAATGTTTTTCAATTTGTTTATCTGCTTTTGTTAGTATTTGTAAATGTTCTTTACATATTCTAGTTACTAATGTACTGCTATTAAATGCATTGTGAATACCTTTTCCAAGCAAGTATGTTCCTGTTTGCATTTTAATGGTGTCATTTGATGAACTAGTGTTTTATTTTTAACATAGTTGAATTTCTGCAGCAATAACTATAGTTTGTGATTTTCATGATTTTAATAAATCTCAACCATTTGTAAGTCCAGAAATCTTTTCCCTATCTTTAAAAAGTTGAAATTTTTTCCTTTTTAAAAATGAAGGTTTTTATTCAATCAAGAAAGGAATTTTTGTTCACTTTATATATTTTAAACATTTTTCTGAATGGATAACCAATTGTCTTAGTATTGTAATTAAATTTTCCATTTTCCCCCACTCATCTGAAATACCTATGGGTCAGAATCAATTTTTCACATTTCTGTAGATTTATAATTGGGTGAACAATTCTTGTCATTGTCAATTTGTCAGCACCTCTGAGAACATCTGCTGCCTTAATTATCATAGGTGTATAATCAATTGTGATATCTAAATCACACAGGTTCCATCATTCCTTAAGATTGTTTTGGTGATTACTAAACCTTTGTTATTTTATATAAACATTAGAGTCAGTTTGTCACATCCCACACAATGAAGATGAAACAAAACAAATCATCATTAGAATTTTGATGAAAACATCATTGAGAATATGCATTAATTCATGAAAAATTATTATATTTTATTATAATTTTTTTCTACTCACCCATATATATGGTATAACTCTTTATTATGATATTCTGTAATGCTATTTAATAATCTTCTCATTTTATCAAATGTATTTTACATTAAAATTGTATGTTAGACTTTATGTAATTTTGCTATTTTAAATGGCAATTTTTAAAATATTTTTGAATTACTTGTTGCTGGTTAATATAAATTTATTCTTACATCTCGCAACTTTTCTAACTCTTAATGTTATTTTAATTTTCTGTAGTAATCATTCTTGTCTGTATATCTTCTTTCTCAAAGTTTTCCTCTTTAAGTTAAATTCTTGGAAGTATAACTCTTGGATAAAAAGTATGTACATTTAAAATTTTGATTTGTATACAGAAAATTATTATTTGTTGAGTAATGGGTCACCAAATTTCATCTGAATTTTCATTATTATTCCAATTTATAAGACTCATTTCCTATCATCTTCAGCAATACTGTTTTGTTATTGATTTTCAGTTTCTTCTAGTTCAATATAAAGGAATATCTTCTAATCCTTATCATCCTTGAAATGGATGGGCTGTGCTTCTAGATCAGAACTACTAATGTAAGGTGAGTAACCAATATCTTAACTACTCTCGCATTAAATACATTGTTTGGAACAACATGAGCCACAGCCAGGCAATTCAGTGGCAAACTCAGACTTCATCCTTGAAAGACTATCCTTGTTTTATATACAAGTCTTTGGTTGTTTGTATATGCAAATATGAAATAACAAATTTCAAAATGTATTGGTCACTTGTATTTCTTTCCAAGCTATCTGTTCATGCACTTTGCCCACTCATTTGTGGATAGCCTTATTTCTTTTCTATAAAGTTGTAAAGACTTACTATTTATCATAGATTTTAATATGATTCCTTACTTATGTACTTTACTTTTTCTCAGCTGGTTATTTATATTTTTCATCTTTTAAAATTATGCTTTCTGACATATAGTATTTCTTTCATTATGTGATGAGATTTATCAAGTTTTTTCATGCTTACATATTTTATCCAATTACTTATAAAGAAATAATTAGATATTCTGTATATTCTTCTAATAATTTTGGAGTATCAGTTTATTGTTACTACTCTATGCAGGGGTTGCAGAGGAAGGAAATAAATTACAAATCACTGACGTATGGTGCTGGCTCTGGGACACAGAGTAAGATCTACTGAGTCTAAGTTAATTTTTACTGGGTCTCAGCATTTTTCCAACCTATCTCTTGTGATATGAGAGTCTGACCACATACAAGTGTACTTTCAGAAAGTCACTCCTTTGCTAGTGCATATTGTTAGCATTAAAAAGGTACCAAATTCAATAAATTTCAAATGCTATTGAAATCTAACACCAAACATAAGGAAACAATACTCACGATGTTACATCATATTGCTACCTTATTAACCCAATCCATGCCAGATTAATTGACAGTTTGGGTGCTACCCTTTGTGGTATCAGAGTCACGGACAGAATAGCTTCTAATCCTCATCATCCTTGGAATGCATGGGCTGGGCTTCTGGCTCAGAACGGCCAGTGTAAGCTGAGTAATCAGTATCTTGACTACTCCATTATTAAATACATTCTTTGGAACAACATGAACCATAGCCAGGTAATTCAGTGGTAGACTTCTGCAGGGTGATAAGGCTAGTATACTGTAATGTAAATGTCTCAGAGTGAGAATTCCAATGATGACGGCTTACGTCATACACAAACTAAAGATGATGCTAATAGTAATCAATTCATTTTTAAATTGCTTACCTATGGAGTCCACCTGTGTTTTAGAAACTGTTGAGGGGTACATAAATATTAGAACCAACCTGCAGAATCAAGCATAGTTTATCGTAGTCATATTTGAAAACTAAGACTCATAACAAAGTTACAGTTGAATGGCACTGTTTTAGAAATGCATAGGTCATGGAATAAAGCCTGGATGTTGAAGAAGGAGGGTTACCCAAATGAATATAAATTGTTCTACCATAATGACATATGAATGTGTATGTTCACTCCAGCACTATTCACAATAGCAAAGACATGGAATCAACCTAAATACCTATCATTGGTAGACTGGATAAAGAAAATGTGGTACACATATACCATGGAATAGTATGCAGCCATAAAAAAGAATAAGATCATGTCCTTTGCAGAAACACGGATGGAGCTGGAGGCTATCATCTCTCCTTAGAAAGCAGGTGTAATTTGAAAATATTAATGCATTGGCATTTGTTTAGGGAAAATGACATGTTATAAACTCTCCAACAGAAACTTCCTTTGCATTATTTCATTGACTCTCAGACATCCCTGGACAATTATTTTTATATTATCTCTATTACAGAGTTGATAAACTGAGAACAAGAATGATGAGGTATTAATGTTTTTCATAAGGTAATGCGGGTAATAAGTGGCAGAATCAGGTTTCTCTCTAGGTCTGACTCTTTAACCAGTTACCTAATGGCTGTAATACAGAAACACACACACACACACACACACACACACACACACACACACACACACACACAGTCCTTCTCTCTCTCACACACACACACACAGACACACACGCACACACAGAGCTATAAAATAGTTGAGGGTTGGAGGATTCTATG